GCGGGCCCGCGCGCCGCCGGCGGCGGCAGGAGGGGCCCGCTGTCCACCAGAACCACCATGAGTTGGAGGGGGAGGGTGTGTCCTCCTCCTCCTCCTCCTCCTCCTACTCCTCCTCCTCCTCCTCCTCCTCCTCCTCTCCTCCTCCCCTCCTCCTCCCCCTCCCCCTCCCCTCCCCCTCCCCCTCGTCCTCCTCCTCCTCCTCCTCCTCCTCCTCCTCCTCCTCCTCCTCGTCCTGCACCTCCTCCTCCTGCACCTCCTCGTTCTGCTCCCCCCTCCCCCCTCCAACCTCTGGTGGCGGTAGTTGCGGAGAAGAGGCCCAGCAGACGCACGGCGGCAGCCCCAGGGCGAGTTCGCTGGAGCTCGGGTCCGCCGACGCCTCGGGGGGTGGTGAGGTGTCCGGGCTCGCCTGCAGAAGCCCGCCGTGGAACGTTCTAAGAGCCTCTCGTGTGGTCTGCGCGAATTGCTCATCGGGTTTCTGTTCTGAGAACAGTGCTTTTGTGCTAGGAGCATTTTTCAGGAGGGAACAAAAACACAAACACAATGGATCGTCGATTCCTCAGAAAATATAGGATAAGATGGGACGTGTGGGGGGAAGACAGAAAACCCGAAACTTTGGGAAACTATTGGGAATCCTGTCATCTGTGTCTATCTATCTGTGTATCCCAGGGCCCGTTCAATTTCTGGGTTCTGAGAACATGTCGTGGCAGGCCTACAGGAATGCCGGGGCGGTCGGCCCCTGCCCAGGGGCCGGCAGGATCTTAAAATAAGAACGAGATTTTAGTTCTTATTTTCAGATAAGAAGAATTTGTGATTTCTTCAGAATCTAGAAGAATATTGGAGAAAGCATTGAAATGCCAACATATGCCCGAACATTGTTGTGAACCTGTTGTTTTGTATCAGTGTCGGTTGCCCCCCTTACGTTGAGCGCACTCGCAACGCCCACTTGGACATTGCGCGTGGCATTCAGCCGCACGGTGGCCAAGACGCGAACGAAGATGACGAATGACAAGAGGGGGGAGGAGGAAGAGAAAAAGAATGAGGATGAGGAGAGGAGGAGGAGGAGGAGGAGGAGGAGGAGGAGGAGGAGGAGGAGGAGGAGGAGGGGAGAGGAGGAGGAGGAGGAGAGGAGGAGGAGGAGGAGGATGAGGAGGAGGAGGAGGAGGAGGAGGAGGGAGGAGGAAGGATGATATTCTTTCTTATTTGTTTTTGCAAGGTTCGTGAGTGAATGTGGTGCGTGTTCGTATACGCCAGCACCGCGTGCGCTTCTGTGAACCCGATCGGTACTTCGCCGACCAACAGCGACGAATAGTTTGTGAACGTTAGGCCACGTACTCTATTCTTGAAAAGTGTCAGCGCCTTGGGCCAGGAAGGAGGAGGAGGAGGACGAGGAGGAGGAGGGGGAGGAGGAGGAAGAGGTGGATGGGGGACGGGGAAGTCCACGGGGCGTGGCCTCTCGCCCACCCCTATCCTCCGAGCAAGACGCCCCAGAGAGTCCAGGACAGAGCCATGTGAGATCAAGAGACTGCACCGTTTGGAATCCTCTCGCCATCTTTTGTTATTTTTGTGACATCTATTTTGCTTCGTGCATGCTGCGCGCCAGATCGACCTTATAGATCGTCGTGGGCACAGAGGCGGGTGCACGTGCACTCCAATTGTCGTGCTGTCGTCGCATCGTCGTCACGTTGGTGTGCTCGCATTGTGGTGTGTTCGGGTCTTCGTGTTTCGTCGTACCGTCGTCGCACGTCGTTTAGACTGCCTCTGCAATCAACGTTGCGAGGGCATCACAAAAAGCCCGCGGGTACTCCTTGGATTCGGCTTGGCCCTTGGTCTTATTGACCCAACCAAAACTCCGCCAACCCGTTCCGGCCTCAGGTTGGGCTTCACGGATGCGTTTCCGCGGGCCCACGACCGTCAGGGGGGCGTGGAGGCCAGATCCCAAAACGACAGCTACGGCATCCCTTTTGGACACGCATATGTGCGCGCGCAGGGACTTCAAAGGAAGAGTAGAAAAGACGCACACGGGTTTCAAGCTACTCCAGCCGAAGTAGCCCAGGTAGGTGGTAATCTTCACGGCGTTGACCGTGCGCAGGGAAGCCTGCGGCGGTCGACGCTGGCAGGGGTGATCGAACGACTGAGGCGGTCGAAACAGCAATGGACAACACGAGTGAGACAGTCATTGAATGATGGTGTAGGAAAAGACGGAGGTGTGGGAGGAGGAGGAGGAGGAGGAGGAGGAGGAGGAGGAGGAGGAGGAGGAGGAGGAGGAGGAGGAGGGAGGGGGGAGGAGGGAGGTGGGATGAGGAGGAGCAATAGGGAGGGTGGAGGTGAAGGAGGAGACGGAGGAGGACGAACACCACTACGAAGACGTTAGCAATGGTATGGCACAAGCCGTCGTCGACATTCTATAATTGCCATGTGTTGCACATGTGAGTGGATCGGCGATAAGCTGGATGCAACCTGGACGCGTCCAAGTCGCGTCCAACTCGCAACCAACTCCTTCTCCTCCTCTTCCTCATCATCCTCCTCTTCCTCGTTATCATCCTTCTTTTCCTCCAACTCGCACCCCTCCGCATTGTTCGCCTCCTTCTCATCCTCAACCACACCGCATGCACTGTGCGTCTCACTCCTCTTCCTCCTCCTCATCTTCCGCAGCCTCCTCGTGTTCATCCTCATCTTCTCATCCTCTGTCTCCTCCTCCCCCTCCTCCGCGTCCTCGCCCTCGCCATCCTCATCCTCATCGTCGTCCCTGTACGCAGCCGCCCACTGCATGTCGTCTGTCAACCGCCTCTCGCCGCCGTCGAAAACTGCCAACTTGCATCCCGATCTCTGCACGCCGCTGCCAATTGCAATGATGATGACGGCGGTGATTATACACCAGCGTTCAGAACGACACAGGATGCACCACAGGGCGACGAGTGCGCCGAAAATCGGGTTCTTGAAATATGCCGATCGTGAACATCAGAGCTCGATGTGGGACGCTTACAACTTTGCGCTCGTGCACAGAGAGGTTGGGCCCATTAAGAAAGCTCGGGTTACGCGCACGACGGCATTCCCGTTGACTCGGGGGATGGGGCATCTTCAGAGTCGCGCATCTTAATGGGCCCAACCTCTCTGTGCACGAGCGCAAAGTTGTAAGCGTCCCACATCGAGCTCTGATGTTCACGCTCCTTCTCACGAATGATATCGGCATGTTCTGATAATGCTCGTTTCATGGCCTTGCTCGTTCCAGCAAGCTTCTGGCCCAGGGCTCTAGGTGAGACGTGTCGTCGTCACGGCTACTGTCATCGCTGTCGCGTTGTGATTCGTCGCTGGGGTCAGCCTTATCAGGTGAAAGTTCCCACGAATCCGTGCAATCAGAATCGCTGCAGCGTGCCTGCCCCACCTCAGAATCGGCAACATCATCATCGCCGTCGGCTGTGTCCTTAGAGTTCGAGCCATCGTTCGGGCCCTGGTCCACCTCGAGAATCCGAGCATTAGAATCGCATGTGTCACAGGCGTCCTTAGAAGTCGAACCATCGTTCACGCCCTGGTCACTCTGGTTGACGTCGGTATCGCCATCGCTCAGATCGTCACTCGGCACATCCCTCTCGAAAACGATAAGCCTTCGGTCGAAAGTGGGTGGTAACGTGCGTCGCTTGGGGAACATCGTGAGCCAACATCGGACCGTGCGAGCATCGAGATTTCGTCTGATGCGTTCCGTTCGGGGTCGCACGTTGGGGCGTCGGGGGTTCGACTCGTCGGAAGGACGATAACGTATGGCCCAGGCGGAAGGCCCCAACGCAGGGACGCATGTTTAGTGGCAAAGACGTCGCTAGTCATCGAGAGAGCGAGCGGTCGAGAGGGATGTAATTCTGATAGAGAGGAGCACAGCAGGCGGGCGTCGGGCTTGCAACGAGTCCCAATGCCACAGGATGGAGCAGGACGGGTTCTCCACTATGATATTCACATCACGAGCGGCAGCGAGTGTAAGCAACCACGACCTGAGCGATCATCGGGAGTTCGGTCTGACACTCGATTCCCGCCTCGCCATCCTCCCCTCCTCCCCTCCTCCTCTTCCTCCTCCTCCTCCTCCTCCTCATATCCTCCTCCTCCTCCTCTATTCTCATCCTCTTTCCCCGCCTCCTTCCACCCCTACTCCTCATCGTCGCCCACAACATCAATCTCCTCCTCCTCATCCTCTCCCCCGTGTTATCATCCGCGCTACCCTCAGCAAGGGAGAGATGCGAGAGGGGTTGAGGGGAGGGGTGAGGGGGAGCGGGGGTAAGGAGGAGCGGGAGGAGGAGGGGGAGGAAGAGGAAGAAGAGGGCACGCTAGTTGCATACGTTTATGTACGTGCACATCACCCCTGCTCAAGACATCGCTTCCGCGATCGCACCGCCCGACCCAACACGTGGCATCCGAGGCCCCCGCAATGCGTCTGCCGTAAAGTTGGCTTCGAGGACGTCCCGTCTACCCTCGTCGCCCGCGATGTTGTCAGAACGGTTCCGACGAGTGTGATGCATCGCCACGCCCACCCACGTGCTGCACTCGGGTTCGAACACGACCGTGCCTCCAGGCTTCACCTCCAAGACCCCCAGAGCGCACGCGAGGAGCCCTGCCATCGTACAAATATCCTCAGATTCATGGGATGTACGCCTGGGTTCAGCAAACATATGTCGAGATGTTTCGTCACTGCCAGCCACTCGCGGACCTGGTCGAGACCTGGACGCGACTTGGACGCATCCAAGTCGCATCCCAGTCGAGCCCAGATCCGCGCTTGGTGTGGGAGTAGCACGGTGCAGAAACATCTCGATACTAGTCTATGCGTTGGTATGTGATTGGCTCCTGTGGTGCCTGTCGAATCCACGAGCTTTATAGCCCATCTCAGAGAGAGAAGTCACGACGCCACCAGATCCACAGAATACTTCAAAGCAATCCAAGTAGCGAGTGGTCGTGAAACCTTGGCCCTGGATCCATCGAGACACCTCAGTCGAAACAGTATGAAGTAAAAAACACGAGTT